ATTAAGTTGTTTAAATTAATTTAGTCTTTAAGCTTTATAAAAAAGGTGTCATTCAGACAATTAAATTAAAAAACGTTAACTTACGTCAGAAATGCAGATCGGATCGCTAATGGTTCTCTACTAGACAGGACAGAGAAAAAACGGGCGTGGAGGTGTCAAAGATTCCCAATATTGTCCTTTTCAGTCATTTTCTTTCCACTCTCCAATTGTTCAACCTTGGCAGTCTGAAAACAAAAAAATCTAAAACATTTTATTATTATTATTATTATTACTATTATTATTAGTAGTAGTATTATTACCAGCTGCTGGAGTTGATTGTGAAGTTCTATTGTTTTCTTCTTCCATTTTCTTTCTTTTTTGTCTATCTATATCTATATATATCTATCTATCTATCTTTTTATCTATCTAGTAAAGGAAGAACATATTTTTCAAATATTTATTTTCTGAATCTGTGTAAATGTATCTAATTGAAAGCTTATACCTTGAGAACCAGAAAACAGTGGACAAGGAAGACGACTTATAGACTGTTAAGTTGTGATTTTAGATATTCCATGACGCACCTTTGCCCTTTAGTAAAAGTAAATTCAACCTAAAGTCTGACCGTTTCAACCTTGTTGTACCGGCTAGTCCTATTGAGTGTCTGCTTCATTAACCCAATATCCGGGCGGTGCAGTACAAACTGGGACCTAGGTTGACCCGGCTCGGAAATTCAAATATACTACGGCTGCCCGTGCATGGAACAGGAGTTACAGGCGTTGTCCAGTGTGTATATTAATATTACTATTATTGTATTATATTACATATTATTACTATTTTACTTTATATTTGATAAGCTTCTTATCAAATTATTTGCTTTGGTATAACATGAAATACACTTGAAATATTGCTCTACTGTCGTCCTGGACTGTTCTATAGTTTTCTGGTTCTCCCCGTAGGAGCCATTTTTGATATTAGCATTCAGAATTTTGATTTTATAGCCAGGAAAATAGGTTATCATTAAGTGGTTTAGAATATTTCATCCTTTCCCTGTGGTTTGATGTTCCGCCATGGCTCACGTTCTATCTGAGAGCCCTAACAAAATTGTCTCTTTTTTCAATGACATTTTTCAAACATATTTTTTTTTTAAATCGGCCTTTTTTACCTTGAGCAAAGAATTGAGTTGTCTTTTATCCGCCTAAAAGTAAAAAAAAAATATCAACTAAAAACCAGCCAAAAACAAAGACTTTTATAAAGTAAATACAAGGTAACAGTAAAGTATAAACCGTTATTAGTCTACTTAAGATGTCTTTTTATTAATTCAAAAGTTTTTATGAATCTTAAAGCAAATCTTTGAACAAACTTTCTTTTTTGTTGTAAGAAATTTGCAACCATAAGATAAATTTTATATTAAAACAGACATAATATTTGTTTAAGATATTTTTGCCCTCTTTAACACACTTATATCGGGCGAATATTTCATTCTATATTAATAAAAATGAGACAATGTAAATGATTGTCATTTTACAAACATTTTTAGCACGTTAAACTTATTATTCTATTTGAAAGCTAGAGATTAAGTGTTAGTTTCTTGGGTTTAAAACCAATACTGTAGTTAATGATGTTAAATACGAGTGTACATAGGGTACACACTATTCGAGTAAATTCCAGAGCCGAAACTTAAGACAGGGTATCGTTCTGAAAACCAGTTTTGAAACCCGGGTTTCATGAATGGGGTTAGGCAGTTGGATATCAACATTTTTGTTATGAAATATAATCTTATTTAGTTTCTTCATATTCTTCATTTTTTTAGAACCTCTTAAATCCAAATCTACACAATTGTTAAGACCCCAAAAAAATCCTTATAATAACATTGTTTAAAGTCAATTGTGTACAGTTACACACACCCTATCCCCCCCTACCTTTAGTGTACAGTTACACACACCCTATCCACCCTACCTTTAGTGTACAGTTACACACACCCTATCC